TCTCTCTGGTGTCATGGTTAGACGACACAGGCTTGCCAACTGTCTCCAGTTTCCCGGGACTGTCCTGGGTTCCGCGATTAGGAATTTGGGGAGGATATTTTAGGCTCCGTGTTCCATGACCACTTGGACGGGCCAAAGTTTGAACGTCTCTTTTTGGTGTTTGTCGCCTGTTTCTGTTCGTTTCGTTGAAAGTGGGTGGTTTGTGTGTGCTCTGATGTGGTTTACTCCTTCTTTCCTATATCGCATCTGTCGTCTTTATCTCCCCTCCTTCTTTTTTGTGTTTGTCATTCCGTTGTAACACCTGTAATCTTCGGCACTTATATGACCTTATTGTGTTTCAAGTGCCGTAAAACTTTTACTAAAACTAAACTTTCGCTGAAGTGACTGTCTGCTTATTATGAAAGACACACGATTTCATAGACAATCATGCGGGGCCTGCCACACTTCTATTTTATGTCCCTTCCGGTCAATATCAGTCATATGAAGGAAATCTAAAAACTGAGTTAACTTTATTATTTAAAAAATCACCTTTCCCCTACAATTTAAAATAAGAATGAAGCAAATATGACCATATTTGACGAAAATACCGAACTTTTAAAAGTGCGAGGTGAAGAAACATGAAAAGGATAAAATGGCCTCCGAAGTTGAGCAACATGTTTCCATAGCAATGGGGGTCTTAGAATTGAGATAGAGACTTGAAATTTAGCAGTTATCTTGGCTCTGCCACTACAAGGTAACATACAAAAGTAGAAAACTATTCATTCGTAAAGAAAAAACTTATGGACCAAAAATAATTTTAACGAGAATGGACTTCACACCAAATGCAACGAAAAATTAGCATAATACTAGGTACCATGCAGGCACTAAATGTTCAAAGTAGCTGTATGTCAAATTCATCTGTTTCATATATGAAAGGCCTAGTGTCTCCTGAGAATTTTGGTACCATACTTTTACCTTTCAGTCAATATTTAAGAGAATGGCAGCTGTTTCAATTTAGCATAATAATAACATATTGCTGAAGTCCTTTACTGGCTGCAACCCCACGTTTGACAGATAGTAAAAGAGAACCAAGTGCACCAAACATCTCTACATTAAAAGAGTACATGCACTATAACATAGAAATGAAGCCTAATATTTTTCAAGACTGTGAGATCATTACAAAGTCAGTATTTTATTGCCTCAAACACGATGATCTGTCGTTATTTCAATAAAAAAAACACCGAGCGTTGTCTCGGCCGGCATCGCACCAGCCTTCTCGGCTAGCGAGCCGGCTCAATACTGTAGTATACTGAGTGTTCCCGGTAGTTAGCCGGTATTTTACACATTTCGTGTTAAAAATGATCTTTGAAAACTTAGACCCTTTTTTCAAGGTTTTCTTTCTAAACTTCAAAGGCCAAAAATAATAACCACGGGAAACCACACTCAAAGCTGTATATTTCCCCGTCAATGAAAAGACGGTATATAATCATCAATCTTTCTGCAAACATTCGAATGCATGGGTGTCAATTTTAAACCGGGGGACCTCGCATTTCGACCGCGAAGGGTTTCACTTTCCAAGGCGATTCTCCAGCTCCAAATACCCGGATATACAAACAACTTACACTATAATAAAGAAGAAAATCTGAACAGCAGTTGGTGTTTATAGCAAAAGAGCAAAGAAACAGAGATCTGAATTACTCCCATTTCACTGAAACCACGCGCTCGGAAGGCCGCGAGTCGGCTTATGTGCCGTATTTACGCTACCTGATGCGTTTGCAATTGTACCATAAAACACACGAGAGCACCCCCCCCCCCACACACGCACATACACATACCCACCCATACAAACAGACCAACACACATACACACACATGCACAGAGACCGCCTCGGTGGCCTCTTGGTAAGGAGTCCGCTCTGAGAGATCTAGAGGAAGGTTAGTTAATCTTTTAAAAGCTCTAAAATACAATTTAAAAAAACCCTGCATTTTTAAAGTCAATCCAATTGTAAAACTGAAAGATCAACCAACAGGCGATAGCAGCTAGCAGGGCACGCCCACACAGTCAGCTGTTTACGTAAACAAGCTTTTAGTGAGCTAGAAGTTCCCGTTTTTACTCGGTTTTACCTATCAGAGTTGTTTACATTTCAGACCATTCATGCTCGAAAAGGGGTCAAAATCTTTTTAAAAAAATAAAAATAGTTGGGAACGGAGAACGGTGGAGCAAAGATTTTTCTACTAGTGGAGAATCTTTGGTTGAAGCAAAGGTGGCCATGAGGTAATGGTTCTAAAAATAATCTCACAGCTACACACTAGCAAGGTTCAAATTCCTTTATCTCGTCACCCAAGCTCACAACAAACCACACACACCTCCAAAATAAATCAAAATAAAATATTTATAGTCGGTTATAGTTGTTTATTTTTTAATCTTAAATGAAGCAGAAGACACCAAGCTTTCCATATATCCAAAAAACAAAAATTTCATGGAAAGTCACCTTTTTGCTTTTCGAGCGTCGTAGCGGATAATAGTACAGTGCGTCTTACGACTGATATTGAGCGGGGCAGACAGATTTATAGCATGTTCTACATGTGCAGGTTTTGTCCATGCGCCGAAAGTGATCTTCGCGTCAACAACCAATTCTCCTCTCCTTACCCTTACCTTGCCTTACTTTACTGTATTACCGTACCTTACCTTGCGGTATCACCTTACCTTACGGTATTACCTTACCGTATTGATTTGCCTTACCTTACCTTACCTTACCTTACCTTACCTTACCTTACCTTACCTTACCTTACCTTACCTTACCTTACCTTACCTTACCTTACCTTACCACAGTACTGTACCGTGCCATATGTACCTTACTTTACCTTGCCTGTGTGGGTGGTCGGCGGGTGGTTTGTTCCTTCTTTCCTGTAAAAAATCTATGGTATTTATCTCCCCTCCTTTTTTGTGTTTGTCACTCTCTTGTAATATCTCTAACCTTCGACACTTCTATGACTCTATTGTGTTGCAAGTGCCGTAAAACTCTTACTAAAACTAAACTACCTTGCCTGGCCGTGCCAAGCGGGTGGTTGGGGGGTGCCACTGATAGGTCCTACTTCTTATCTTTCCCTGTGTCGTTTCTGTCTGTCTTGCTTCTTCTCTGAACTGCACGGCCGTGACTGTGTCGATGCGCTTCATGTTACTGAAGCTCAAACTTTGTCGGGCCATGCCGTATGCCATATACCCTAAGTATACCATACATAGCATATGCTATAGGCCATATGACATATGTCATGCCACACACACACCACACTACACATATATAGCTGTACCCCCCCCCCCCGGGGGGGGGGGGCGGCGGTGCTACTGACTAAAATATCTTTAGGCCGTTACCAAAGGGGGGACAATAACATGTTCTTATGCTCAGTAGAATTGTAAATGGGCTGATTCATCAATGTCATGCTCATAACTGTGCCTGTAATGCATACGAGGAATTTGCTGCGTTTTCTTTACTAATCCTTGCTATCGTCTTTTTCCCTCTACTTCTTTTTTTTGTGTCACTCTCTTGTGAACTGTTATCTCCGGGGCTCCTTGATAGTTGAAGCAGACTTTGTGCTGTTGAGGTTAGAGAGGTGAGCAGAGTAAGTCTGATTCACTGTAAGGACTTCTCTGTTGTTGACATCCACCCCTTGGCGCTCATATGACCTTATGCAGTTGCGAGCGTCGTAAAACCTTACTAAAACCAAGAACACCACACCACACCACACCCCACGACACCACACCACACGACACCACACCACACCATAATATGTCTCATACCATTCCACACCACACCACACCACCCCATCCCACCCCACACCACACCACACCAAACCAAACCACACCACACCACACCACACCACACCACACTACACCACACCACACCACACCACACCAC